GGAATACTAACTTAAAAATATTTTATTGAAATTGCTTGTCACTAACATAACTCATTCACATTATTTTTGATTCTTTATTTGAGAAAGAAAGAGTTAATAGAACTTGAATAGTTATTATATTAACAATTTATAATTTGGCACAGTTTAGGATTCTATTAATGGAAAATTATAATTAAATCGAGACAACAAGCTATATACAGATGGCACTGTGCTGATGTGGCAATAATGTAGATGGTAACCACGAATTTAATTTTACAGGTACTTACGCCTATCGCCTCCCTGACGACGGTGAAGGTGGTCTCTGGGTTAGCTACGAAGATCCTGACACAGCTGGACAAAAGGCATCTTTCGTAAAGTAAGTATTAAAACTTTGTAGATTACTTAAGCATCAACCACACCAACGCGTGCAGATCGCCATTGCTGGCGCGATCATAGGCCTATGACAGTTTGTTGCGCGGACTATCATGGGTCGCGGTAGTTGGTGTGGTTGAAGCTTTACACCAGCTAGGTACATCATCATCATAATTTCAGCCATAGGACGTCTACTGCTGAACATAGGCCTCCCCTAATGCTTTCCACGTTGATCGATTGGTAGCGGCCTGCATCCAGCGCTTCCCTGCTACCTTTACGATGTCGTCCGTCCACCTTGTAGGTGGACGTCCACAGAGCATGGAATCGACGATTCCATGCTCTGTGTGGACGTCCCACGCTGCGTTTTACATAGTTACTCCATTTCGCTTAGGTTCAAAGGTTAAGTGGATGATATGTTGTATGGAATTAAGTTCTGCTTTTGTACTCTGTTGTGTGCAATAAAGTTTTAAACAAATAAAATTAGAATGGGAGTGCATTGTTCCGATTTCAAAAAATAAATGAATGTTTCAAGTTATTAATATTTTCTAGCGTTACGAGTCGCATCTCAAACTAAATTTCAAATAACTTTTAGCTTCACGAGAAATTGATTGATAGGGAAATGAGTAAGATTCTTGCCCATTTTGAGGAACTACCTACTTAACTATTGTATCATTTACGTGTTTTCTCTTTGCAGGTCCAAGAATCTTGGAGGCATTTCTATCGTGGACCTGTCGCTGGACGACTTCCGTGGTCTTTGCACTGGTGACAAGTACCCGATTCTTCGGGCTGCCAAATACCGTCTTTAATCTTTTTTAATGACTTTTTAAATCAAGCTTAAGTTTATCGTAAAAAAATCAATCAGATAATAAAATCAATTTTTAATTCATTTTATTGATAGTGCTGTGCATTTAAACTTATTAATCGTGATTTGTGTGAAATGTGTAGGTAATTATTTTAGCTAGTGCAATAGTTCTTAAACGAAATAATCTGATTGGTCTAACATTGATATTGCCCTGCAAAATCTGGCAAACGTGTTTAGAGTACTGCCTATAAGACCACCTATAATCCGGACTTTATTTACAATTACTTTACAAACTTAGTAAATAAAACCTATATACATAATACAATATTTACAAAAAAAGAAAATAAAAGTTAAATAAAAAGGTTAAAAAGTATCAATTAAAATAAATATGCTGATCAATCTGACATTCCGTTAACACGGCTGAGAACATTGACAAGTATACCTACCTATTGTATCGCTTATGTTTCTGTGAAATAAATGATATTTTGAATTAATAATGTATTTTATTGTTAATATCTAAGGAGAGGTAGGTTAAAATATAATTTATTAGTATGAATTTTAAATAAACTCTTAAATTTTTAGTAGGTACCAAATAAATATTTTTTCTTTCTTTCTAATGAGTTAGTTAAGTCTTTAGACATTCTTTTTACGATACCATACAACACTGGTCAAATAATTTCACCGAGACCAATACAAACTTATAGTATTACTTATTCTGTGCTTATAGTTAATATGTCATATACAATGTTTAAAATGTTCTCGGGGTTCGAACCCGCGACCTCTGGCTTAGTAGTTCAGTATAAATTCAACATATTTTTACTAGCTTTCCGCCCGCGGCTTCTCCCGCGTGGAATTTTGTCTGTCACAGAAAAACTTTATTGCGCTCGTCCTTGTTTCAAAAACCGGGATAAAAACTATCCTATGTCCTTTTCCGGAACTCAAACTATCTCTATGCCAAATTTTGTCAAATAAAAATCGGTTCAGTGGTTTAGGCGTGAAAGTGAGACAGACAGATAGACAGACAGAGTTACTTTCGCATTTTAATATTAGTATAGATAGATACATAGATTTGGTGTGATCTGAGGCACAATCTGAGGTCTATTAGGAAAAAGAGTGAAGAGTGTAAGCGTAAGGGCTCACGCACACGGATGTATTTCGTCGCCGTGACTTTTTTGTAGTCCATGGAGAAGTATGGAGGTGCGCGTCACAGTGACAGAAACTTTGTACATTTTCCATACATCTAATATGAAAGTGATAAAAATTCATAAGTGCCACTAGTGGTCTAAATTGAATAAAATATTTTTGATTTTGATTTTGAGTCATGGCGACAGAAGTCAACCGTGCGCGCGAACCTTAGCCTTTAGCGTCAAGTTTGTTTGTCTCTGTAGTAGGTAATATTACTTCAATGGTATAAAGTAAAAATCGTTGTTCGATACAAGAAATTTGACGGTTTGCAGGTTGACGGAAATTATTGTGATTGACGTAAGCTCGAAGGGCCTTTGAGTGAGTTGAGGGGGCCGGGCCAAGGGCGCCCGGGCCACCCTGTTGCCGTGGTTGAAGGGGCTGTTTACGCGCGGGCCACGCTGGTGTAATGTTGGTTTCCTGGTCGCACGGCTGCATGCCTGGATCAGCAGTAGTAGTGGTGCGGTTTGAGGTAAATGGTTGAAGGAGCTTTGGCTTAAGCCTTGCGCATCGGGCCATGTTACCTAAACCCTGGTTTCCTGGTCGAAGGGGCCTCACGCCCGTTTCAGCTGTAATGTTTTGGTTTCCTGGTCGGGCTTCGCGCCCGGGCCAGCTGTAATGGTTTGGTTTCCTGATCGAGGGTCATCACGCCCTCATCAGCTGTATTTATTGTGATTCTACGATCTGATATTCGCACGCTCTGTAGTCAGGAATGGACGAGCTGTGATAATGAGATATTGAATGTTTACAGATGGACAAACCCTGGACTAACCGCACGAGGCCGTGCGATAGTCAGGCTGGCCGTGTCGGCGCAGGACACAGATGCTACAAATTATTATTGATGATTAATAGTACCAATCTTAATATTATGTTATCTGTAAATCTGTAGAGCGGAAGGTTTGTGATTCCTAAACGTAACACCCGACTGATGCGCAGAAAAAGGTAACTGTCAATCAGTTGTATCATGTCAAGTGTGAGCAAGCGGCTACGAGGTTATAGTTCCAAAATACTGGACTGTCCTGTCGATGACATTGACAGTGGGGCGCCACCGTCAATACCGGATCGCTGGTTCAGATTTTTGCCATGTTGGAAACCATATAGTTGAACGATGGTAGCGCCCCCCTGTCATTGAGTTCGGCGGGACAGTTCAGCGTGGGTCATCTATATCTTTGAAAGCGTGTTGAGTTTGGTGGAACGTTAAATTGTAGGGAAAGTGATTGTCAACCATCCAACATATCATCTCCTTGCCCGCTAACCCACGCCTATGGAGATTCCACCCCTAGAGTTCCTCTGATAGAGACCCAGTGCCTTTAAATTCAAAGTAGGTACTACCTAATTACAATAAGATAAATCGACTTAAAAGTCTCGATTTCGTAAAAAAGGAAGTGTATTTGTACGGCGAACAATTGGGAAATAAATTTTCTTGTTACATTGAAGTAATATTAGTACATTATAACTCAATGTCTTGTTACTGGTATCATTCCCGTATTTAATTTTTGAAAGCCAAATAATACTTATGAAATGTAACACTGGTCACTTTCTTTCGTTTTTCTGATGTAAATAGACACCCTTTCACAGCACAAACCCAATGACATCTATATATATCTATATATATATAAAAGAAAGTCGTGTTAGTTACTTCGCTTATAACTCAAGAACGGCTGAACCGATTAAGCTGAAAATTGTCAGGGAGGTAGTTTAGAGCCAGGAGAAGGACATAGGATACTTTTTATCCCGTTCGAAATAAAAAAAAAGTCTGCTTATTTATTGCCATTAAGGCGGAACAAAGTTCGCCGGGTCAGCTAGTATCATATAAAACCGTCTTATTTAATTAAATTTTTTTTTTATTTGTGGCAATTAAACCTCTCTGGGAGGTTTATTACGTGGGTGTTTCAGTTCTATTGATTTTTCATGGATTCCGTGGGGTTAAGTATGCCCGTAAGCAGGTTTCGAGACGCCACCGGGTCCAAAGCGGGTTGTTCATACGACACTCGATGCGCGCTCAAATTCGAAGTATTTCAATGTTTTTTATAATTTATCACTTCACTGCACTTTAGAACATAAAATAACACCAAATTTGTACACTAAAGTCCATTAAATAATAAATTGAAACCATTAAAACAGATCGACCATGCTTCCCGTTCAACTACCCTCCACGGAATCTTAATTAAAATTCGTCGGACGTGTTTACCAACTTTTCACTTTGACAGTTCATGTGACGTTTACGGGTGAGCCGTTCCGGCTCACTAAAAGCTGCCTCACCTTTCGTGCAATGACTATCTATCTAGGCTTTATTAATCTAAGACCGTTCCCAAATAGTTTCGTCTATATCAATCATGCTGATTAGGTATTTTACAAGCTTTATTTTCTACTTTATAGTGCACTTTTTTAGTAGTCGGTTTTGCTTTTTTTGTTAAAATTATACTCAATTAAGAACTTACTCAAACACTTTTTGTAAGTCGATTTATGGCAATTTCTTAGCACTTGCGTATACTATACAGCCGTCAAATACGGAAACGACTTAAAAATGTGTAAGGCCGGGCTTAGACATGTATGGCTCGGTGTAACACCCATTCGTAAAACCTTTTTAGATTTTCTATGGAAAATTGTTTCTGAAGGATCTAATATGTCAAAATAGTCAAATCATTTTTGATTAATTTGAAAATTTAAATTTATCTGAAGTAATATGTTTGCATATCGCTTTACTAATTTTGCAGTTCACCCTCAATTACTATTACCGAGAGCAATATTTGCAACGCACACGCCATTGTGTCCGACTTCAAAAACAAAGCCTCCTGCAGGCAAAGGCGCTGTTTGCCCAGGCTCAGGGGGCAAGGGCGGGGCGGCTGTAAGTGGCGGCAGTAAAGGTCCAGGCTTGAAACGCCAAGAATTTTCTGCCAAGGTGAGGTTTGGCTTTATACCCGAAGAATGGTTTCTATTCTTCCATTCAAAGACAGGCGTTTCGGGCCCTTATGTATTCGGAATCGTTGTAGCGAACTACTTATTGAGCAAGGAAATTTTTATCATGGAGCATGAGTATTACAGTGGACTATCTTGGGTCCTAGTTTTATATCTCGTAGCCACCAAGATGGGGCCAGGTATTGGTGCCTCTTTAGACAAAGATGTAGATGCAATAGTTGCCGAATTCGAAAGTAGTAGAAAAGCTGAAACTGCTAGCTACGAGACAACCATAAAAGATGCCAAGGATGCTCAGATGAGAGCGGAAGGACAGAAATTACTGATGGATGCTAAAAAGGAGAACGTGGCTATGCAACTTGAAGCGGCGTATCGGGAGCGGTTCATGCTCGTATACAAAACAGTTAGAGGTCGTATGGACTACCACGTCAAACGATATCAATCCGAGGCTCGAATACATCAAAAGTGGATGATTGGTTGGATATTAGAAAACGTGATGAAATCTATAACCCCGGACTTCGAAAAGCAGGCACTAGAAAGTGCTATTCGAGACTTAGCTGCAGCCGCCAGTCGTGCGAAGTAATATACATAGATGTTCTGGTTTATGTATTATTTTTATTTTCAACAACGAACTACCAAACTACGTGGTTGTTTTATTACTCGAATAAAAATACGAAGTCCCCTCGGTTTATAGGCTCTTATTTATTTTATGACTCTTGAGCCTAAAGATTACACAAAATAAAAATCTGTTATCGAATGGTGTGTGTAGTTTTATATATTTTACTTCTTTTATTTATATTTTATAAACATTTTACATAGTAGGTATTATAATATAGTATAGATAAAATGCTATGGGCTGTTCTTGGATTTCTGTGTATAAATATGTTTATACTTAACACCGAGCAACAAGGACCTGGCAAACCTGGGAGGCCTGGCAAACCGGGGGGGCCTGGCGAACCTGGGAGGCCTGGCGAACCAGGTAAGCCTGGGAACGATGCATGGACGGATGGTACCGACGGTGCGGTGATACGCCTCAACTCTCTTCTTTAATTTATCAATATAAGGTTTTCGGTTTAAGACTAAGAAAGCTACTTTTTCTCAAACGCAAGTCAAATGCCTTCACGAACATTTGCTGTGTTTTAGTGAAAAAATAAGGTTCTCGGACTTTTAATGGAAAGTGCTTAAATCCGTTGTTACCGAATTGCACATGAAAATGGAGTGTGGACTAAAGATGAAACGCGGATGAAAGACATTACAAATAAGCGCAATAGGGGCTCTGTGGCATTTCTTAGTTTGAGATTACACCAAATCCTTCAAAATCTACAAGGACTTAAGTCTAAACACTGATCTTTGGATCCTCTGTTTTATTTTTTTATAGAAAATAATTCGCCATAGATAAATAACCGTGTTTATGTGAAAATATCAATATCATCTTAATTTTACATAACTTATCAATGAAAATGATGTACAAAAAGATTGATGATCATTATCTTCGAAAATATGCCTTTAGGAACACAGTGGTACCTACCTACAATCTTTTAACTAGTTTTTATTCATAGGATATATCCTTAAAGTTCCAGAAAGTCAAAGGGAGCACGTTGTAGAAGACACCTAGATTTAGGTAGGTAGGTACCTATTGAAATACAATTATTTTAAGGTGACGACGCATCTGATGGAGAAACAGAAGACGAGAGGGAAACTAAATTGGATTGGGATGTTTTTTGTAAATACCAACCGAATGAATATGAATGCTATGCCGGGGGAATGTCTAGACCAAGGTACCGCAAAGTTTTTATTAATTTTTTATCATAATTACTTATTATAAGTAATTATTTGCTTAAATGTATCTCTCTTGCAGCATACAATTACAAACATGCATCTTTATTGACCTGATTCTGATGTGTATGCTAATCTCTCTCTTACGCTTGTAATTTCAAGTTTTGTTTTGTTTTGTAAGCCTCTTCTAAACTTAGACCTGTGGATTATCGTAGATTATGAAATGTGTTCTATTCTAACTTTTTTATCTTTATAATAGTTATAGTAGCTAAATCCAATAAAATCAGTCAAGTGTCTTCGCCTTTTAATTTATGTTTCTTTCTTTATCTTTAGATTTTACTACGACATTAAGATGGAAGATTGTAAAACTGCCAAATTCGGGAACTGCCCACAAAATATGAATCAATTTAACTCGTTATCGGAATGCCAGGATCGTTGTCGAGGTAAGATGTGCATTTTCTTGTTGGCTATGCGAATAAAACTAGTTTGTATAATAGAAAAATTCTAGTTGAGCTTTTGAATACAATATAGAATTTTAAGCTTTCATCATTTCAGCCACAGGACGTCCACTGCTGAACATAGGCCTCCCCCAATGCTTTCCATGTTGATCGATTGGTAGCGGCCTGCGTCCAGCGCTTCCCTGCTACCTTTACGATGTCGTCGGTCCACCTTGTAGGTGGACGTCCCACGCTGCGTTTTCCGGTACGCGGCCTCCATTCCAGAACCTTTCTGCCCCATCGGCCGTCAGTTCTGCGTACTATGTGCCCTGCCCATTGCCACTTCAGCTTGCTAATACGTCGGGCTATGTCAGCGACTTTGGTTCGTTTACGGATATAACGACGTATTTTAAGCTTACTTAAAGCAAAATAAAATTTATATAGCTTCATCAATAATTTCGGTTTATAATGAAACACCAATATAATATAATTTAACAAAGTTTGATTTCTGACTATAATAATTTTATCTGCTTTTCTAAAGATCCCGGACAACACGCAATAAAAGTTAATTTATCAGAAAGTATTTATTGTCGGCTGCAACCTGATTTCGGCCAGTGCAACGACTATTACCCATTGTAAGTATTTACCTTGTAAATTTTAAAACTAGGGTCCCCAAACTACGGCCTGGGGGCTAAATCGGCCCGCTAGTGTTATGTTGACTAGTGTCATCAATAGGCGGGGTTATAAACTAGCGGCATCTTTATGGGCTCGTTCTCACAGAAATCCCGTTTTGCGGGATCCGGTAAATGAAGGATCCGGAAGAAGGATAAGGTTTGTTTTTTGCAGGATCCCGTTTAGTAGATACGTGTTTTACTACAAACATTCATACGAACATCCCGTGTGCAGTGACCGCAAAAAACCGTTCAAAGCAATTAGGTTTTAACATTCAACTGGACCAGTAAAAAACAGGATCCAGTTTAATTACAAGTATTATTACATTGAAGCAGATTTCTGTAGGTATGCATTATTTTCAAACTCCCGTAACTGCATAAAACTATACTTGTAAAAAACTGGTTAAGTACTGCTGTGTGAACACACAAATGCTTTCTGCGGGATTCAGTGATGCAGGATGCCGCAAAACTACCCAGACGTGGGAAGGAGCCCATAATTAAAAACTTTAAATTGATACCATGGATACACATAAACATGGATGGACCTTACATAATTATTGGTACAAACAAACTGTGATGTGGATGATGATACTTTTGCTCGCAAGGGCTTTCTTAATCTCAGCTCACAAGTTATTATTGTTTTAATTAATTCCATAAAACTTTTTTTTCAGGTGGTATTTTGACATCTCTATTCGATCGTGCAGAGGTTTCTCATACAGCGGCTGCGGCGGGAACCACAACAGGTTTCCCAACGCCCAGATCTGCGCCGCAGTTTGTGGAGCTGTTGTTACATATTTGTGAATTCAGACTGTTTCAATAAATCAACAAAAATTTACCATCAATAAATTATCTACGAGCTAGAGAGATAAATAATAGCTCGTTGCCGTTGGGGCAGGAAAGTTCTCGAGTGGCGACCACGGGTTGGAAAACGTAGCGTGGGCAGGCCTCCTACTAGGTGGACCGACGATCTGGTAAAGGTCGCGGGAAGAGCCTGGATGCGGGCAGCGCAGGACCGTTCATTGTGGAAAACCTTGGGGGAGGCCTTTATCCAGCAGTGGACGTCATTTGGCTGAAACGAACGAAATTATCTACATTTAACCGAAATAATCCTCAATCCTTTTTAGGCTTCCGTAGCCAAATGGCAAAAAACGGAACCCTTCTGTTGTTAACCCTATATTAGGAACCTCAATATAATTTTTATAGACCTATCCCCACACGTATTATATGGGTTTGATGAAAAAAAAGTTTCATTTCTAAGTATGGGAAACCCCCAAAATTTATAGCTTTTTTTTTCTATTTTTGTGTAAAAAATCTTAATGCGGTTTACAGAATACATCTACATACCAAGTTTCAATCGTTCGTTCTTTTCAGCCGAAAGACGTCCACTGCTGGACAAAGGCCTCCCCCAAGGATATCAACAAAGACCGTTCCTGCGCCGTTCGTATTCAGGCACCTCCCGCGACCTTCACCAGATCGTCGGTCCACCTAGTGGGAGGCCTGCCCACGCTATGTCTTCCGGCTCGTGGTCGCCACTCAAGAACTTTCCTGCCCCAGCGGCCATCAGCTCTACGAGCTATGTGCCCCGCCCACTGCCACTTGATTTTAGCTATTCTGCGGGCTATGTCAGTCACTTTGGTTCTCCTATGGATCTCCTCATTTCTGATTCGATCACGCAGGGAAACTCCGAGCATAGCACGCTCCATCGCCCTTTGGGTGACCTTGAGCCTTCTTATGAGGCCCATAGTAAGCGACCACGTCTCAGATCCGTATACCATCACTGGCAACACACACTGGTCAAATACTTTTGTCTTGAGACACTGCGGTATTTCACAGGTTACAATTAGTATAGTTTCGGAAAAAAGTGGCTGTGATGTACGGACGGACAGACAGACAGACAGACATGACGAATCTATAAGTGTTCCGTTTTTCCATTTGTCTACGAAACCCTAAAAAGGACCCCTCTGGTCATCAAGGAGGATTCATCAGTGGGTTTGATGAGTCGCTGCAGACGACTCATCGACACAAGCCGCCTGGGGTGTCCGGCACCAGCCTATCCCCCGCGGGTCAGATATGCTATGCTAACCTGCTTAGGGAATTAGCTAACTTCTCTGCGTCGATTTAGAACAGCTCGCACTCACACTGCTTTACTGCGAACCCTCTCAACGATGCTGCGAGACCAGCCTTATAAGTACAGCGCAGTGACTAAAAGTTACATATCGCGATTCAGGATTACGCACGAGCGCGGGTGGTGGGGTGGGGGCGGGAGGAAGCGCTCAGAGCAGTGGAGCAAGACTCGCCACGCCGGCGAATTTCCATTCGTCATTGCTTCGGCACACGAGCTTAACGTCGTTATTCACAAATATTACTATGAGGTCTCTCAGTGCGTGTGAACCCCGATACCAACAACTTATATTTTTTCGCTTAATTATTATTTGCCATACGTTTAGGTACTATTCAGTTTGGTAATACGAATAAGGCATTCAGTCAGGTACTCCAGTACTTCTTAAATGTTATAAAAATTAATGGCTTTTAAATAATGTTTGCCAAATTGCTCAAATCATTGATTATAAATCCCCCCTGGCTAGGGGAGACAACAGAACTGCACCCGAATAACATAAAAGTACCTTACCACATAACGAATAACATAAAAGTACGCATATTACTAAATAAAACTTTTAAGTTAAGAAAAATAAACAAGATTCTTGTTCAAATATGGCCTAAGAGTTTTATTTATAATTAATTGAGCTATGTTGCACCTTAGCTAGATAGACAAAACTTTCGGATTACGTAGGTTGAATGTTGGCACTCATTTAAAAAAAAATTGTGATTGTACTACCAAAGGAAATCATTATACAGGGTGTTACAATTTTTATTTTTTATTTTTTTCCATTATGGAAGGTAGTTATAGAGCTGTTGTTTTTTTATATTATTACTATGAGACACAACTATACCTGTGCAAAAATTTAAATTCGTCAGTTACATAGTTTTGGAGAAAAAAATAAAACAGTTTTAGGTATAGAGGGGGGCGTGGCTCCCTGGGGGGTGTTGGGGGGGTGGAATTTTGCACAATATTACTATCTTTATACGAAGTATCGTTTGACCACAGTTTCGAGCTTTCAGGCTTTGGGGGCACTTTTTCCAAGACTATCCTGCTACGCCCTTTAATCTAAGGTCAAAATGCAATTTTAAATACTTAAATTAATTGAAAACTATTTTCAGGATTAAATTATGGCTGAGTTGCATCTAACTTAAACTTTGACAATCTTCAAAAATCTGTCTCGGATTGTTAAGGCTGATTTACACGTACTATTAGTTATGTAGGTAACAAAATTTTAAATGAATGTCAAAAAGTATTTATGTAGTCTTTTTTTTGGATGGACTGTCCTACTGAAGCGCGCAGGGCTTATTTATGTAGTCAAATTCTTGTTTAAAAACAGCTTGTCAAAACGTGTCAAGTTCAAGCCACACCCACCAACTTATCCGAAAAATTAATGAAAAACCTACTTAACTACATAATACGTGTAAATCAGCCTTTACGAGCTCGTAGTAAATAAGTTAAAAAAAAATCGGAAATGTCACAACTCTTCTCTGTTACAACTCACCCCGGTCTCCCCTACACTTTTGCTCTCTACGTGCTTTCTTGATCAAAGGAACGTAGAATATGGATTCAGTAAAAATAAAAATAAAAATCTTCCAATTCTTTTGCTTTGATTCGCTTAAAATATTGAAATGATGCTTATGTTTTATTCATAGCAAATGTACTTAATATAAAATTCACAAATATTATGTCTACAACGAGCAATAAGTTAGTCGCAACTCGCAATACCAGCAATACGTAGTATTTAATTACTTATTGACTGCAATGCCTGTGAGTATTTAAGTGATGAGTATAGGTAAATGTTTTAAGTATTTATAGCGTTTTGGGCTCATAACTAGATTGTGATTTGTTGTAAAGTATTATTTGAACTAGGTAGGTATGGTTATAATTATTTATGCCTACTTAGATCCGTCAGCTTCTTAATCTTACTTCTTACTAATATTATAAATGCGATAGTTTGGATGTCTGGATGTCTGGATGTTTGTTGCTCTTTCACGCAAAAACTACTGAACGGATTTTGATGTAACTTTACAGTATTATCTGTGACAAACTAAATTTCACGCGGGTGAAGCCGCGGGCAAAAGCTATTAACCCATAATCGCACTAAATAAGATAAGTAAGTATGCAATTTATTTAAATTATAATAATAACTCAAACGTTTATGCTGCAGTCAAAACTCATATTCGGTTAAAACCACTTTAGACTGCAAACAATCAGTCAAAATTGCTTTCGCCTGATTTAAAATTTTAGCAGTTTTTTATTCTTTGGCCTGGTTTTTTGATTCGTAGTTAAAATAACCAATGGTCAAATTTGACAGATGTCAAATGACAAGTGGTTAAATATCAGAAATAAGGGAGAGTCCGCTAATTTGGACCAGTTTTTTTCAATCCCATTTTACACATAGTTTTCTTTTGTTTTTGCTAATGTCCATGGTATATAATAAAAGATACATTATTCAACTTACTATTTCATAAGTATTAATTAACATGATTGTTGTAAATTTAGCACAAATCAACAAAGTACGAGTTCAGAGCTTCGGTCCAATTTAGCCAACCGGTTCGATAATTTGTACCACAGGGTTACTAAATTGGATTTCAATAAATTTCAAGCCTATACAAAAACTATGGCAAAATATTATACGATACATTCTTAACAAATTAGGAAACGAAAAGGAACAGTAGTTAATAACATAGACATTCGATATTGTTTTACACGTTATCACGATTTTGAGTAAAAGTTTTGTAATTCCAATTATCGTAACGCACACTTGTATCTAATCTACTTTGCCAGTCTTTTGCTTTCATTTGTTGTTAGTCAAACATAGTTACGCTATTATAACTTCAAAATATTATTTACTAAAAAAAATTTCAAAATCCTTTGGTAAAGTTCCATACAACTTGATGTGGTACAATTTAGCCGACTAGGTGATAGTGCTTTTAAAAAATCGGTAAAAAATATAGCTTATAAATACTGAAAAATGTTTCAAATAATTGTAATCCACACTAATTTACGCTTCTAAATAATATATTAGAAACACCCTGTGATTAAATTTAACAAAATTACAAACTAAACATGTATTGTCAAAAGTTACTTGAAAACAATTAAAAAATACTTTTCAAAATAAAACACACGTGTTTGTTGTCATGGCAAAAACCACATGACCGATATTAATTGATTTTAGTTGTGTATCGCTAAGTGTTGCAATTACAGACATTCAATAAATACTTTACGAAATATGAGGGTGGTACAATTTACCCGGCGGTACAATATACCGAACTCTCCCCTAAATGTTTTTCAAACAATGGTTAGCTTGACTTTTAGTACATTTTTAACTATTAGTTTACATTTTGTTAATATTTAATCATTAGTAGCAAACAATTATAATATAATAAATAAATTTAATAACTATTAACAATTAGTTATTTTAACTATGAATCAAAAAACTGGGCCTTAGTCAAAAATCATACAATCAAAAGGACTGACATTTTACAGTTAAAGGTGGGTTTGACTAATGCCTTTGGTCAAAAACACTTTTGATTGATTTTTGCAGTCATCTCATTATTTGGGTGCTTTCATTACAATAAAGTCAATATAATGAACCTGCAATAAAGATACAACGTGTGAATTTATTTCTAAAGAACTCAATTACATCTTTGTAGGTAGGTACCTACCTATCTATTAACTTTTTTTATATTTTTAAGTT